AGATTCATGGCCGAAACTACCAGCAAGGGATGGTAATGCATTACGTAAGTTTGCAGACTTTCTCAGACAGTGTGAAACAGCAATGTCAAGCGTCAGATCACTAGACATCCTAAATGATGAACGTGAAAATCGTAAGCTTATTCAGAAGCTACCTGATTGGCTCCTCAATTGTTGGAGACGTAAAGTCGCCGAATATAGGGAACAGACATCAGAATTTCCTAAATTCTCAAGATTTGTGACTTTCATTGCTAAGGAAGCAGAAATAATGTGTGATCCTGTCACTTCTTTTCCCTTGGAATTGAAACATGAGAACAAGCCCCGGAACACTCGTGCATCGTCACAGCATCAGACAGCTAAACGACCACATGGTACAGTGTTTGACATAAATCTGAGAGATTCATCTCTAAGCACTGTCACAGGTAAATTAGACAAGAAATCAAATGTGAAATTTGAAACTTGCCTTTTCTATAAAGGTCAACACAAGCTTGATGATTGTGAGACATTGTTGTCTAAACCTTTGATTGAAAGAAAACAGTTCTTCATAGACAGTCAAGTGTGCTTTGGATGTCTCAAGCCAGGACATCTTTTAAAGTTTTGTCAGAACAGGCTAACATGTAAGACATGCTCACGTCTTCATGCTACTATGTTACATGGTGATCTCCCTAAACCTTCTGAGGGGACAAAGCCAAAAAGCATTAACCTTTGTTTATTGTCAGGGTATGACACTTGCCTATCTGCACTTGCAATACTGTATTGTTAGCCAAACCATTGTGTTTATATGTATACCACATCAGCATTTCTCATTGTTTAATGTAAATTAGGTTAATTCTAATTTCGGGGGGAGTGTAACGGTAGTCAGTCAGATATGGTAATAAGATGTTTTACTATAATGTTTTCGAAAACTCTGAACGGAGAAACTGAGTATTCATGATGTTTATTTTACAGAATTTCTAATATAGAGAACTCACAGTTGCCCAATTCCCTGAAATCCGTAAAACATCTTGACGGAATGCGGATAAACATAGGCCTTTCTCACCGGAAAGCATGGTACTCGCTCCATACCCCAAGGGAGCTAAAAACAATACTCACCACTAATGAGAAGAAACAATAAAGCGCTATCAAAATATCTTATTACCATATCTGACTGACTACCGTTACACTATCTGCTTTGTCAACCTGTGCCTGTTAACAAAAATGCTGATTAAGATTACTGGCTATATCAACATCTATATAATAAAGAGTATAAAAACATACTAGCGGAAAAGAAGAAACGAAATTACAAGATGCCATGTTTAACTTACCCGTAAACTATTTAATGTTGCCTTGTTCACTTGCATTATCACATTTTGCTTTCCTTACCCTCGAAATAACCTGATTCCTAAGTTGCCTTAACTTGCGCCAATTACTTGGTACACATATTTTCACAGCTATTTTAACTTTGACGCCAAATGTAATCTGTTGACATTTTATATGTACGTTAACTGAGTCGATTATTTCATTATTGCATTATCAAATTTTGCCTTTCTTACCATCGAAATAACCTGATTTTTAAGTTGTCTTAACTTGTGTAGTTGGTACACGCCTTTCATAACATTTAATTGTCGCTTTCTCTGTGCAGACAATTTTGTCGCACAACATATTATCTGTCGTTACACGTTTCAGTTTATCTGAACATGTACACGTGCATGCCTGAAGTACAAAGGGGACATATAACATTATTCGATAATAGGTTTTCAAGGAACGGAATTTTCATGACTATTTTATTCTCATTTTTATGTATCTTTGCAGGTCGTATACTACCATTATGTCCTATAGAAGATGTTTCAGTTAATAGTTTGAATACTATAGCTATTAGCATCACATATATCTCACATGAGCCCATGAACAGTTATTAGTCTGAATACTCATTATATCCGCAAACCATTTGATATATTTTCGAAGTCGGCCTGACTTGTTCTCATTAGTGCAGAGTTATGTTAAGCTCAAGCTCAGCGCACAATCTTGATATAGGACCATGAGCCTGGACTGCAGCTATATACAGATATGCTGGCGATGAGGCTTATAACAGTTTGCAGTGTAAGATATAAACCAACCTGAGGTTAATGGCGTTGTCTTATGATTACCAGTAGGTCCATAATGTCTTATGTCAAGGAAACAGATTAAGTGGCTAAATCGGGGAAAGAAAAGGTGCAGAACATAACTCAAATGTTTAAGGTCAGATAAACCGATTGTGTCTTTATCTGAATATGTGTACTTGGATGTGGGAACGTATCCGGACTTTGAAAACATTAAAACGCCAGGTGAGTGAGGGTGTTAATATTTAACTTCACATTGGCAATGTTTCAGCCATATCGTGACGAGAAGTTATACATGATAATACATATATATAGACTAAATAAAAACCTGTCATCGATGGACAGTAAAATAACTAGAAGATCACAGGTTAATATTTAGAACTAGCAAACAATCACAACAGAGATATCACCACATGTAACAATACAATATAGAAACGGTTATAGATCGCCAGCAACTGAAGATAAATCACAATACTTGGGACCATGGGGACTTATGGTACCTTTCCTACCTGTATGGACACCAGGATTTACACCATCCTTTCAGTGGATGGCTCATGACAGCTGAATGAACAAAAACACGCTCAATGTACAGTGAATACCACAATAGTCATTCATATAGGGTCTTTCAACTCTCTCTATGACACGGCTAGACACGCGAAAACGGAAAAAGCAATAAGTTTCCTGGTGCACAGACTCGCCGCCATGGAAGGGGTCAGACTGGCTTTCGTGCTCTGTGTCTATGTTCTGCACATTACATCAGGTATGTGTCTATCTTATAACTTAGAAGGAACATCTTGTATACCGAAAATGGATTTGAATAACAATACTGACATGTGATCAGTGACGCGGTTTCGTTATTGCCTTCACTCCTGTGGAAGACATAAATGCCTCTTTGTGTACACAAATATATCAAGAAAACGTGATTGAAACAGACTGAAATAAAAGCCATCTTTTTATATAAATAACGTGAAGACTGAACAAAATTGTTTCACTCTCTCTCTCTCTCTCTCTCGTCAGTACACTAGTCCCCCTCTCGTCAGTACACTAGTACGTCCTCTCTACATAGTAAGCACATCCACTCCAGTAAGCACTCACGGACGTCCTCTCTAGTCAGTCCACAATCACGTCCTCTCTAGTCAGTACACAAGTACGTCCTCTCTAGTAAGTACACAAGCACGTCCTCTCTAGTCAGTACACAATCACGTCTTTTCTAGTCAGTACACAATCACGTCCTCTCTAGTCAGTACACAAGTCATTCCTCTCTGGTCAGTACACACGCACGTCCTCTCTAGTCAGTACACAATTGCGTCCTCTCTAGTCAGTACACAAGTACACCCTCTCTAGTCAGTACAGAAGCACGTCCTCTCTAGTCAGTACAGAAGCACGTCCTCTCTAGTCAGTACACAAGTACGTCCTCTCTAGTAAGTACACACTGACGTCCTCTCTAGTCAGTACACAATCACGTCCTCTCTAGTCAGTACACAATCACGTCCTTTTCTTGTCAGTACACAATCACGTCCTTTCTAGTCAGTACACAATCACGTCCTCTCTAGTCAGTACACAAGTCATTCCTCTCTGGTCAGCACACACGCACGTCCTCTCTAGTCAGTACACAATTGCTTCCTCTCTAGTCAGTACACAAGTACACCCTCTCTAGTCAGTACAGAAGCACGTCCTCTCTAGTCAGTACACATGGGCGCTCCCTTTGGTCAGTACACAATCACGTCCTCCCTATAAAGTACCCTATACGTGTAATATGTATGGCCTTTCCTTATTGTGAAGGTAATATGCTCCATTAGAAAATGACAGGGGAAAATATAATCATGTTCATGGACAGTTTGTTGTATTTTAATCCTTATTATCTAGACTTGTAAGCCTGGAGCATTTGACTTCCTTGTCTGTTTGTTCAATATGTCACATTGTTAACATTGAGTTTTTGTAACCAGCTGTAAATAAAGATCATATAGTCCATCAGTAACAAGGATAAATTCATCATGTGCGTTATGTGTGCCTGACTTGGCGAATGTCAATGACTAAGTCGGATAAATCCCTGCATTACAGAAGGACATAATATTTCCCACGTAATTTGGTAGCATGGAGTATTTGGTGCATCCTTGTCACGCTTTGCGTTCACCAAAGGATTGACACGTGACAACAAATCAAGAACTATCTCTGATATGATACCCCTGTTAAGTTCCAAGACGTTGTCCTCATGACACATGCATGTACGGCGACTTGTGTTACTGTTGTTTTCTGATATATACTTCTGACACAGGCGTCTGTCCTGATATTACATGTGTCTCCCAATGTCGCTGTCTCTGTCTTGTATAATACAATGTACCGTTTACTGAAGTCAGCTGTCGCAGATGTACATACGACTACACTGAATGTTTCGGTTATAATAGTCTAACAGGTAGTGTACGTGTCCTGGTGGTACATGCAGATACCTGTTGCAGTGTCTTTGTAGAATATAATACTTCAGTTACAACTACCCTGATGTTACATACAGTCTACCAGTGTCACTGACTACTGTGATATATACTTCTGTCTTAATTGCCATTTTATTACATTTGGCAACACAGTGTCTATCTCTGTTATAATACTCCTGTAACAGGCAGTTGTCCCGGTGGTATATGCAGATACCAGTGTCAGTGTTCTTTTCCCTACACCTGTCCTGATATTACATACGGCTGCCAGTGTCAGTGTCTATCTATGATATTCTACTGCTGTTACAACTGTCCTGATGGTACATACGGATACCCATGTCACTGGTATAATGTCTATATATTACAAGCAGCTGTCCTGATGATACATATGTCAGCGTCACTGTCTATGATATAATGCATATATATACCAGGCAGCTGCCCTGATTGTACATATGGCTGTCAGTGTCACTGTCTATGATATAATGCATACATATTCCAGGCAGCTGCCCTGATGGTACATACGGCTACCAGTGTAGTTACAACTGCAACTGTCCCGTCGCAACGTGTAATTCTAGAGATGGATGCAGATCTAGAAATCAGACCTGCAACAGAGGGTGGTCAGGACCGACATGCCAGAAATGTAAAGCATTCAATTTTGTATATCAGTGAACGTTTGACACTAAATCAGCTTAACACAATCAGTGTGATAAAGATATTTCTTATCTGCATTTTGTCAAAAGTCGATAACCATCAAAAAGAATCGTTTATTTTCCTCGAATGTTCATATCGTCACTACAATTCATTCTCTCCTTTGAAATAACTTTTTTTAAATCTCAAAATCCATGCATTTATTGCTTGAAGTTATCATCTTTGATGCTTTAGCAGTAACGAGTATACCTTTCATATCAGATAAATTTCAGTGCAAGGTCTTACATGAAGACAGCGACGTCCGTTATATCACGGTGTGTCAGTTTCATGTGGGGAGAATGCCCGAAGTGATGCTTTGGTACACGGGTATGGTTCTGTCCAACCATAAATCATCAGGGCGAATCTGGGAGTCAAATCCACAATCCCCGATTACTTGCAGGCCTCGGGGACATCCTTCTACACAGCGAATTGTAGTTACATCGCCTAACACGCCTGCGCTGTGTGTTCCAAACAAGCAAAGTCTAGGCCAGCATATAACATGTGTCACAGCACCTCATCTGAAGGTGTGATCCTCTGTTACCGAACATTACATTTGATACATTTTCTGTTGTGAAACTAAGTTGCACACCGACCTATGGTTGTTCTATACTCTAACATTATGTGTTATGACAGACAACAAAGCTCTCAACAAGCCAACATCAGCCAGTAGCATCTTTCTCAGTCAGTCACCAAGTAAGGCTGTGGACGGAGTTACCAAAGCGAACAACTATAGCTACTGCTTTCATTCAGCCTTCAACGACGCTAGTATAACAGTTGCGTGGTGGAGAGTGGATCTGAGTGAGATGACACAAATTCATGACGTCACCATATACTTCAGGAGAGACCGTGAGTCGTTTACATCCTACTGTAAAGACTAGTTTATTTCTTCTTATGAGGTCACATAAAGCCAATAACCACCACTGTGCAGTTTATGCCAAAACTACGTCAACCTGTTTCGGACGACTTGAAACTTAGACCTTGTCTCGGGGTTGTCAAATCTAGATAGGTTGCGTTTGCTCAGTTCTGAGACTAGTCTACATTTGTTCATGGGTTCAGTATTGTACACGGGCATACATGAAACCTACTTCGTAATGAGTTCCTGAAATTGTGAACATCTGTCTTATTTGTTATTTTACAAAATATGTAGGAAGGAGGAATTGTGCAACGGTTGGAAGTTGCAGGTATTATAAGGGTACACAAACAAGACCCTCCTACCGATAGCCCATTCATATCTGTCGAGTGTGTTAGGTGGACTACAGCAATGCGTGGAGTAAAAACGCAATCGACTGACCATTATGTTTACAAACAAGCGGAATGCCGCATCCCAAACTTTCAGAACCCCCACCCAACCCCATCCTCAGCCTTATGTCCGATAGGCATATTTTATGATGTCGTCTGTTTGTTTGTTTGTTTGTTGTTTAACGCCGCACTCAGCAATATTCCAGATATATGACGGCGGTCTGTAAATAATCGAGACTGGACCAGACAATCCAATGACTGACATTACGAGCATCGATACGATGCCGTGTATTAACCATAGTCAGCGAGCCTGACCACCCGATCCCATTTGTCGCCTCTTACGACCAGTTTGGGTTGCTGAAGACCTATCCCAGATCTTCACAGGTCTATTTTATGATGGACAAAGTTGTTGCATATATATACATGTTTAAGGTATAAAACATATATGAGTGATCCTATTTTCATGAATATACATTTTACTAATTATATTAATTTTGACATTTAACAGATAAAGTTCGTCGGAATGGTATCCAGATCTACATAGCTGAAACTGACGCCTCCCCACCTGCTGGAGACAATTGCTACAACGTGAAAGGGAAGGCGGACGGGACAGACATACCTTATGTTTTGAACGTTACGTGTTCTGGTAACGGGCGCTATCTAGTGCTGTACACAACTGTGAAAAGCAGAGGTGACCCAGTACCTAGTATGGATTTCTGTGAAGTGCAGGTTTACGGTAAGAATCATGTTTGATATCCTATATAACTCATCCATCTCCAAATTTTGATTTTTCATATGTTCATTTAAATATCAATATGCTCTTTATTTTCTGCTGTTCTAAACGTGTTCCTGGGAAGGGATCGACCTGGTCTTGTACATCATTACTTTAATCAACGAAAGTATAATGTTAACAATACCCATCCTGGATTTCTGTGAAGTTCGAGTAACTGTAGGAATTATCTTTAGTATGTATATTGAGGTGTAAAACATGTCCCGTGTTTTGAATGTACAGCAGGAATGTTACACGTAAATCTAACGCTGTTAAATCGAATTTGTGGAACCGAGCGCGCGGCGTGAGGCGTAAGATGTTTGAAAGCTTAAATTATCAGGAATATAATGGATGAGGTGGCAAGGGTTGAATTTGATTAAACAAAGTATGTCGCTGTGCATTCTCAAGGATTGGTTTTACATAAATATTATTCATTTGCACATATGAGAGGCGAGAAAGTGTATTCTAGGCTTCTGTATAAAGGTTTAATCATAAACTGGTCATCCCAAAAGAACATCCTAATGAAACAAGTTTTGCAGGGCTCAGCTATAGTGAGTGAGTGAGTATGGTTTTACGCCGCTTTTAGCAATATTCCAGCAAATGGGCTTCACACATTATACCCATGTCTGGAATCAAACCCAGGTCTTTAACCACTAGGCTACCAGACCGCCCCCAGCTATAATTTTTAACGAAGTCACAGTGCTCAACACAAAAGCTCTTTATCCAAATTGCACTCGCCACATTTCAATCTCTATATTGTCCCCAACAGTTGAATTATAATCACTTTGTCGATTTATATCGTGTTTAGTGAAAATGTATTGCAATACTTTGAAAATTATAGCAACAGCAACGCGGCATATTGTAACCTTCACGTATGCATATTATTATTTCAGAATGTCTACAGACAATCATTCAGAAAATAGTAATAAGATTAGTTTCCTAAATGATGCGGCCGTTAAATCGGCTTTTGTAATCAGAATGGTCTGTTAATAATTTGTAAGGTGGTAGTTTAACAAAGGCTTTGAATCTCCATATATGCATATTCATATTCAAAACAGTTTTCTGTATGTATTTGTCCAGGAACACCTCACCTCAGTAATGAGTATGCGCAGCTTCAGTTGCAACAGTGTCACAACATTTTCATAAGAAATAGGGAAGCTTCAACAAAAACAAATGAAACAATAGATACTATTGTGAATCCTAAATTCCACTTTAAACACAGGGGCATCGGTCGACAAGTAATCTAAAGCGCTGCATTTCACCCAACATATTTGCCCTCAGCCAAAGATATGCATGTTATTAATGAGATGGGTAATAACAACCAGGGAAAAGAATGGCAACAAACGCATATTTACAGACGACTTCAGAGTAAATTTGTGTGTAGTTGTATACAATATTCGTATAGTTATGTACGTTTAGCACAGTTCTCGCTGCACACTACTATTGCTTCATGGATACTGGTTTTACTAATTTTAACAACATATTTCTTCAATGTGTTTACATAAGCGATTATATGAAGTTTATTAAGTTGTGATGCATTCTATAATACAGGAGCGCGAGAAAGGGGAACAAAGAAGATTAGAAAGGAACTAATTACAAACCATCATTACACAAATTTCAATTTACACATTTGTGTTGTATACTTTAATCCGTGTAAATGCGAGTACATGTTAAACGTGAATGTTTTCATAGTAGGTAAAATGCATATAACCTTCCTGTTCCCTCATCAATAGTTTGCGGTCCTGGTACTTTCGGCTCTGACTGTGACAACTACTGCCACTGTGACGGTGAGGTGTGCGAGTACGTGAGCGGCGTCTGTCCGAGTGGAGACTGTCTCCCAGGCTGGAAGCAAGACAAGTGTGACACAGGTTCCTATTTGATTTTGTGCTGATATATTTCATCAAGAATCAACCTTCAGGATATTATATTAGTCTGTATAATTAATACCCGAAACTAACAATAAAAACAATCGAGGGCATACAGCTCATCTGTAACTATATTAAAAATCTTCATGTTTTCAGAGTGTATACCCGGCGATTATGGACGAAACTGTAACCAGAAATGCTCTGATAGGAACTGCAAGACCGACAACTCTAGCTGTGACCACGTGACAGGGGAGTGTGTTGGGGGTTGTTTGACAGGTTGGAAAGGAACAGACTGTACACAGAGTAAGACCATTATGTACTTACAACAAATCAATACCTGGCCTTACCTGCTGGAAATGCCTACAGGTATCTCAAACACAATTTGATGCACCTAACCATAGGTTCAAGCTTGACACTAATAAATATATTTAAATAAGTCATTGTTCCTACGTATTTGATGCATGGTACAAATGTATCCATAAACACGTTACAGAATGCTTACATACCTACGGAGACGACTGTTCTTACCTGTGCTCTGCCAGACACTGCAGTGAGACATCAACATGTGATCACGTGACCGGGAAGTGTGAACGCGGCTGCAATCCCGGATGGATAGACACTGACTGTACAACAGGTGACACACTTATTTTATATTTTGAGTCAACACCTTCTTGTGTGCCCCTCTGGCCATAGAGTTTAACAACACGGTAGCAACGGTAGCAATGGTAACATGTTAACCTTCTGCTTTGCTGTATGGCAGTTACCTTCAGGAACTCTCTTGCCATCATCGCCGAAGCCTCGTAGCCCTTACTCTATTTAGCTCCGTGTGAGGTCCGATGTTATGTAAATGTTGCAACGGAACATATGATACAAACTTTCGGTGTGCAGGAGACGTGCTTTGTGGTCTTGTGGCCGGATCCTGTAATTCACGTTCTAAATCTGGCTTTACTCGTGAATAGTGTCAAATCTGTGAAGTATCATCAGTGTGTACAAAAGTGCGAATATATTATTGAAGACCTTTATGTAATATGCCTGTGTTTCATTGTTTTTAAAGGTGAGATACTGTAAAAGTAATAATATCGTGATATGCCAAACGTATAATTGTACATGGAATGATGTTTTGTCACTCGGGATGGGTGTAAGTGTGGTGGAGTTGTCAGTTAGTGTGAATCAGAGTAAGGACACATGCTGTTTGAATAATATCACTTCATTACTTAAGACCTGAATTGCTAACCTTCAGAATGCAAGCCTGGAACATTTGGGCCTGACTGTTCTCGTTGCGGCCACTGTGACGTCACGTGTAATGTTGGCGATGGGCACTGTCCAGGAGAATGTCTGGACGGCTTTACCGGTGACCGATGTGATGTGGATGTTAGAGGTTCGAATACCGTTAAACCTTTTTTTGTGCTTATGCGGTCCCTTATAAAATAAATCAACGTAAGAACCACATATTAAATGTAGTTTGATGTTAAACATTTATCGCACTAACACAGTTTTCATGGCGCAATATATATACGTAAAGCTGGCATATGGATGACGCAAAATATATTATGTGCAGCATAACATAATGTTTCTATTAATGTGTCTCATGGCATTCAATCCAGTGCCACCTGTAACAAGTGGTGTCATCGGGGGAGCAGTAGGAATCGCTGTGATGTTGTTGCTTAATGCTGGACTGACCACATGTCTGCTTCGAACTGGAAGGTATGAGCACGCATTTTATAAACGTAATGCGTTCGGTATTAAAATCATTCATTTCCGAATAATTCAAGCATTAGAGTTTTTATTGGATTGTCCGCCATACTTTCCTGTTTCAGACTGACGTGGCGATCATCTGCTTGCGCAGATCCTAAAGACGGGAGAAATAAGACTGTTACAGGAGACACTGGGGAGATTTCTGCACACGCGCATGTGTCCGGTGTTGATGGTCAAGCCTATGTTGAACTGAATGACCTCACAAGAGAGGGAGATAAGATGTCAACGTATGATGTCATTAAAAACTAAGAATCTGATTATAATCTAATCTAAGAATCACATGTCTGTGCAATCACGAAAATGTTATGCCACGTATCGTTCTATAATTGTATAAATGAACAAGTTATTTTCTTGTATAAATGCCTTCATGACAAATTTGAGTCTGGGTAATTTTCACTAAAAAAACAAAATGTAAAATGCATCATGAAAATGAAATGATATGGTTCCGTCACTATTTCTTCAACAAAATATATGGATTCGGTTTCAAGTGAGTAAGCTGGTTTTAACAGTGCTTTGAACAACATTACCACATCGTATTGATTTGACGTGCAAAGAACTCAGAAATGAGACAATAGATACCTCGTTGTATAATTGTGTTTGATTAATTTTTTCCAACAACTTTTCTTGAAACCATGAAAAAAGATTCACGATCATGGACCTTATTCATGTTTATTTGTATTTTGCTTGTAAAGATGTCAAAATGAAAAGTTATCAGTATCAGATTAAATATTTCGCGATATACATGCATTGTATGTCCATGCCAAGATCAGTGTGAAAAAAACAGACGTTTATCAGAACGTTCATAACGTTTTTTGGCTTCCATGCGGTCCATGCCAACGAATCCTGAAAAATAACAATAATAACTTCATTTTATTGATTGCATTATCACATGTCAGAGTAGCAAAGCGTAATGTATTCTGATTTGAGTCTTCACTGTTGTGTTTTTAACAAGTGGTTTGGCAGTTATCGTTGGTAAAGTAAAGCAAGGATAAGAGTACGCAGAATGGTATGGTATTTGATTGTATGGTACTAGTGTTCAACATGGGCCACAAATGCCTGACGTGCGATGCAAAATGTTTGAAAGGAAGCAATTCTTGTTCACATTATGTCACAGTCGTTTTTAACCTTGCTCCACTGATTGCTATACATGAAGTTACATTTTGTTACCATATTATGTTATATGACTAATGGTCATATACGTCATACTAATGGTCATACTGGTCATACATTGTCTTTTGATTTGATGAATATGTATTGTTCGTTGTTTATACGTGTCCTTTTTTGTCGTTTTTATCCAACGCTGTAATGCTATGTGACAATGACATAAAGTGTAATACTTATAACGTGAACAGTAAGATTATATTCTGAGACGTTATGGGAAGAGACCTTAACTGGGTCGAAGTTATGTTTTTGGCAGTAATGATCCTTAGTATATGAAGTATGAAATTGTCTGATTATGTACTTTTTGCAATGATACGTGTTCCTTTTGTCATTTACCTTGAGACTCGCGCTAGATTATGTTTTTTAAAAATCTATTTTCCCTCAGGTGTGTCATTGTAATGATTAGTATCTGTAATTTAACTGTAAATATGTACCTTGAAATCCTTGTCAGTCACCACTATCGCGACATTCCTTAACAATATTTGTTTGATCATTCGGATAGATTGAATTACCTTGTTTTGTGTTCGTTCGAAAATAATAAAGAACGTTAGGTTTCTTAAAATTACAAACTAAACATATATTTTATTGCAAATGTATACGTGTTTGTCTTGTAGTTCGTAATATATGCCTGTTGGGATTTGGGATTTGAAGAGGTCCCCTCAATTGTCGTAAGGTCCGACTTAATGGATCGGTGGTCAGGCTGGGTGGCGTGTCATCACATCCCGACGGCGTCGATTGTTGCTCATAATATCAATCACTGATATTTGGGCCAGACTCGATTATATACAGGCCTCCGCCTTCATACAGCTGGAATATTGCTGAGTGCAACAAACAAACGAGCAGTGTAATATGCAATGTGTTTAAGTAAACTTATTTGTGGTCTAAATATACGTTAGTTTTAAAATAACTATCAGTATTGAAAAAAACATGGTTATAGTTAAAACTTTTTAAAATTGAAACACGAATAATTGTTGAGTTCACTCATATATATATAATTTTAGGATAAACTCGTAAAGGTAAACAAGTAACCATTCACATTTGTTATAAAATATGTTAAAACCCGCACTCCTCGGCACGGTGCTCTCGCTTTGACAGTTTTTGCAAGAACCGCGCGCGCGAAAATAAATTTATTGCAGAAATCAAAAATTGTGTATTGAATAAATTAAGACATTAATAAGCTCTTGGGACCAGACGTACCAGTATTTTTTTTAAAAGAAGAACAACACTTGTTCTTGTAAATATGTTTTACCGTCTACTGGCCATGCTTTTTTATCACTTTCTCATTGTCTTTTCTCATATCTTCACTCACATTTACCAGTCTTTCGAATGGCTTGTAGCATTGCCATATTCTGGTATATTTACATAGAAGAATGCAATAATGTTTCAAATAAAGAATTTCGTAATAAACAATAAATGTAGAAAGCGAGATTTGTTGTTATTTGCGGAATTTTAAACATACCGAATAAGTACATACTCAATGTGATATGTCTATGTGTCTATCATTATCCACAATATTACATACAAAAGCATGACCGATAGCTATATTGTAAGAGGTTTGACTCGCCTTGGTATGTGTTAGCTAATATTAACAAGAAACGACAACTCGGTCTATTTTGAGTGAGTGAGTATGGTTTTACGCCATTTTAATCAGTACTCAAGCAATTTCACGGCGGGGAACACCGCAATGGGCTTCACACAATGTAACCATGTCGGGAATCGAACCCGGGTCTTCAGCGTGACGAGCGAACGCCTTAACCACTAGCATACCTAGTCTATTTTGAGTGAATAGGCAATGTAAACTCAACGCAGGAAATATGCTGAGCCCACTTAAATAGATGTACGCAGTGACTTGCAATGTTTAACATGTTATAACCAGGGAGAGTGTCAAGGAAGACACTTGCAATTGTATTGTCAAAATGCATGAATCATCAACATCATTACAAGTTATGCCACGAATGACAACAAACACGTAGGTATTACGTCAAGTTTGGAGGAGGGGGGTGAGTTGCTCAGTAATTGATCAACTCAAGACTTAAACATCACCACATGGAACTCCGTGTAATCCTTCAGAATGTCACACTTTTCAATCAATATCGCGTTACCCATCACCACGGGCGTCAATGCACGCCCTCAATTCGACGACAGGCAGAAGATGTGAGACGTCTGATCACAAGAAATGGGATTCGACAGCATTAATCTTGGAGGACTGTCAACTAACAGATCATTGTTAGAAGGGGGACCTGGTCTTGCTCTATTTTGTCGGTCAAGGTGATCCCACACGTAAGGTGATAAGTCTGATGGGGCCTTGTGTTATCTTGCTATAACAGCGATTCCGGGGATTCTGTTGCAGGAACGGTAGCACAGCAGGGTAGGGAGATTAATCAAAGTAGCACTGTCCAGTTTCTTTCCAAACCCTTTAGATCTGTTTTGACCTAGTTAATGATGTCGCCTTAACATGGCTATTGATGCCACATTGACATGGCTAATGACGCCGCCTTTACATGGCTAATGACGCCGCCTTTACTTAGGAAATGATGCCGTATTGACTTAGCTGGAGATGTCACCCCAAACCATGGACACTGTCCAGTGACTGACAGGATGACTTGACCATCAACCTGGTGACTGTCCTTCGGCTACAGCAAAAACTCCCTGCAGCATGGTAACGCGTTGCGCCTTGATGTATCATACCAACGGCTGAGTCACTTACCAACGGCAACGGCATTTATCTTATCATGCTATTTGTCACTGTCCTATCGTTTGGGTGTGAGTGAACAGTACATCGTTCCTGTTATCCGCATGTCTTTAGACGTTGACATACTGCTCGTGCAGATAGGTTTCACTGATCTTGCTACGATAGCACGTGCACTACTCAAAAAATTGTTTTTGGTAATGTTTATGCGATTGATTGTCAACCGATATTCGGCGTTAGGTCTCAAAGTGTCCAGCTTTTAGTTTGGTAACGTTTCCTTTGTTTTTGTCAGTTAAAATCAAAAGTTATCCTATTTAAGTCCACCATCCACAATCTTAGTACTTGAAAAAATGATCAAGCAATTGTGTGTACACACGTCAAGTTGACACGTTTTCTGTCATTTTGCTTTTGCTACACATGGCGTTGTAAAGAATGTTTGAATAAACTGCTGTTTTTGTTGTGAAAGTAGTAATTAAGCTCAAGATATCAAAGAACAGTGAACACATGGTCTTGAAACACACAGGATCAGGTTTACAATCATAAAAGGCAATACAATGGTTCAAAACATGTGGCAGCAGCCCTATTACAAAAATCAGTACAATCTCGAATGTCTTGTCTTTGTCACATCCGAGTGCCTTGTATCATTAAAACAGTGTTGGAAGCAGGCGGAAAATATATAGCCAGTCTTCTAGAAATGGCTACCCACAAGCGTCTAGAATAATTCTCGCAGTGACAAAAACAGTCGTGCTCTGGCTGATATGTTTCACATGAACCATGTGTTATTTAAACCAGTAATTATCAACAGTATATCATAATACAATATATAGGTTTGGAAACAGCAACTATATTGTACATCATGCATTTCTAATGCATGTTGCCCCTAGTATGTCGCTTTCAATATTAAAAAAATAACATCTAATAGTAATGATCTATCATTTAATTAACACTTGCAGATAGACATATTGCATGTTCAGATACATCCACTGAAAAACTTTCAGTTATATCACAATTCAGCATTCATTCAACGCTCAAACCTGTGAATGTGTCAGTGCCCAGGGGTCTGTTCGTTTGTGTACTTAGGTGTGTATGTTGTGTGACAGATAGAACTTACGACGTCAGCACTAAGGTCAGCAATAAAACGCTCGTATGTAAGGGAAATTCCATAAGTCAAACATGCAACGGATATATTTTCATTTGGACACCTTAAAATAAGGCTGATTATTTACAAATAATCTGTACTTATTGGGGTTTTACCTGGAAACCGATTGTAAGATAGCAAACATACAAACAGGTACATTTGTGTACAACAGGAAAATGTTAACACTAGTTTTGCCTACTGTCGTTGTTACTTCGTGGTACTTCGACTCTTATCAGTTCAACATGGCAGTTGTCAGGTTACTCCGGATGGTGGTGCTGGCTGGATCATCGGGTATGTTTCCCATGTATACATAATGTTTTATTTTTAAGCTGCGCTTGCTTTTTGTAGAAGTGAAAATATTTGACATCATTGTATTATCGTTGGTGTGTGAAAGATTAGAAAGAAATTAAATATACTTAGTTTCATTTTCGTATCGTGTTTTTTCAAACAGTGTCCTATATTTTTTCAAACAGTGAACTATATTACGACGGTCGGCACCAGAAAGTGTACCCACGTGTTGGGTAACAATATAACAAAATAAAATACTTCTTTGAGGAAATTGGAAATGAATTATAATAGACACATAGGAAATAGATCTGATTTAGGGAATATATTACTCAGAACAGGCCATACTAACCAAGTGACAAAAAATAGGAATGAATTAGTTTGGATATATAAACTGTATATGTATATCCAATTTAAAGGTTTGGATCAGCATTTGAATAGGGTAGGGGTCGGCTTATCGCCAATACAGAATGCAGAAAGTATAATGGGAATACAGTATGCAGGAAGTATAAGGGGAATGTTTGTATCCTAGGGAGTGTATTCATCCTACAAAGGGGGAGTGTTCCAATCCTACGGGGAGTGATTTATTCCCTTCTACAATTCGATATTGCTCACATGCGTTGAACCATATATTGATCTCAATGCACCAAGAAGAAGGAAGTTCTTCTCTCTTTTGGGGAGGGGGGGGGGGGGGGGGGGGGGGGAATTATCCCATATTTTGGTGTTGTACAGACAAAATATTAAACACATTATTTCGAGCGTGTTCAGGGTCAAGTGCTAAGCTTTCCTTTCATGGACAAATGTTGTCCATGACTAGGTGGACGCTTGTGTGAAAAAGATTGTCATTAATCGTAATTGCTTTGGAGATTATCATTTAGCATTCTGTTTGCAGTAAGGGGATCTTCAACTGTTATATACAGTAAAATACCATCGGCAATATTAAACTGCATTTCATCAACAATGTCGTTAACATTGAGAATATAAAGCAGACGATGCAGAACATGTCCCTGAAGTACACAAGTGATAAGTGTATTGTGTTTAATGCCTGACTATTAAGTACTATTCACTGTAATCTTTCGGATAAATTTCCATTGATGCCCACTAGTACTGTATCCAATTTGGATACTATAATCCCTTGTGCCATACCTACATCACACAATACCGCACTTACTTCCTTATCATTATCTAAAGCAGTAACTGTCTCGTTGTATAGGTTCGTGAGTTCAGTTACGTGATGACAAACTCTTCGAATGTCTCCGAAAACTGAACTGAAAACACGTCTGTACAGTATACAAATATTAATTTCACCTTTTCTGAAAAGGTGTCATTTCCACAGGTCAGGAAATGAAGCATTTCGAAAGGCAAATTAAGTAAATCAGTAACAGTCGGAGGTAAGATCCCAGCGATCATTTTCATAAATCTGTTTCCAATACCATAGGTAGTAACTAGCTACGGACAACAAGACGTCACACACATTTTCCTGAGAGAAAACGATAATCACACAGCGCATGTCGTTAAGCACATTCGGTGAAAGAGGAAGGACTATCTGGTTTGTCAATCTGTGCCTGTTCACAACACTGCACAAAAGTACTGGCTATTTCAACTTCTATATGATAAAAAGTAGCAAAACCTATTGGTGGAAAAGAAGACTTACAAGATGCCATGTTTAAATTCCCCGTAAAATATTTATGATTGCCTTTTTCACCTTCACAATCACCTTTTGCCTTTCTTATCATCAATAAACTTAATTTCTAATTAAGTTGTGTTAACTTGCGCCAATGCGGACATGAAGCAAAGATACAGGTATGTAACACTACTATTACATGATTCGATAATAGTTTTTCATGGAACGAAATAAACGCTATTGTTTCATGACTATTATATTCTCATTGTTATGTATCTTTGCAGGTCGTACATATGCATGTATACCAGCATGTTATCCTGTAGAGGATAATACAGTTTATGGTCTGAATACTATAGTTATTAGCATCACATTAATCTCACATGAGTACATGAACAGTTAATAGTCTGAATATTAAATATATCAGTAAACCATTTGATACCTTTTCGAAGTCGGCCTCACCTGTTCTCATTGCGTTAAGCTCAAGCACAGCGCACTCTCTCAATGGAGGACCATGATCATTGGCTGCACGCTATATACAGATATGCTGGTGGTTGGGCTAATAACTTCAGACTTAAGTCAAGAGGTATTATGGTTACTAGAAGGTCCATAATGTCAAGGATATAGATTGAGTGGCTAAATCGGGGAAAGAAAAGGTGCAGAACCCACTCAAATGTTTACGGTCAGATATATTGATTATGTCTGCGTATAAATACGTGTACTTGGATGTGGAAACGCATTCGGACTTTGAAAACATTAAAACGCTTTGTCATGCCAGGTGAATATCACAGACACGCTCAATACACAGTGAAACAGCCACAATAGTCACATTCAGATAGGGCCTTCAACTCTTTGTATGACATGGTTGTCAGCTGACAACGGAAACCGCATTAAGATTCCTGCTCGACATGGAGGGGGTTAGGCTCGCTATCCTGCTCTGTGTCTATGTGCTGCACATTACATCAGGTAGGTGTCTATCTTATAACTTAGAAGGAACATCTTTCGTATAAATTTTATAATAGAAATGGATTTGAATTACCATAATGACATGTGAACAGTGAAGGACAGTGATGCGGTTTCCCCTCTCTCTCTCTCTCTCGCTCTCTCTCTCTCTCCCTCTCTCTCTCTCTCTCTCTCTCTCTCTCGCTTTTGCTCTCGATCTCTCTCTCATAATATACAATTAATATATGATTACATTATCATATAGGACACTGGACATTACTCTTTTGTCGTTCAAAGTTGACATAAAGCTGTGAAATATACATGCTTCATCAAACAGTACAGACAACACTGCACGGTACTAAGTGGCTAACTTTGTTGGGGGATTTTATTCTGGAAACAGTCTGCATATTGTTTTGATGCTGAAAGGTGAACGTTGCTCGCACAAGTTTAATATACCACGGATCTGATGAGCACAGACCAAGCATATGAGAGTTTTGGATTACAACGCACGAGCATCGATAACGGGACATGACATGAACAAGGACAGGCCTGGATCAGTTTGCCAAACGTGGTCAGAAATGCGTTGATACCAAATTCCGGTGTGGTAGTAAGTACACAAGCCCGTCCTCTCTTGTCAGCACACAAGACAGTCCTGTCTAGATAGTACACCAGCACGTCCTCTCTAGTCAGTACACAAGCACATCCTCTCTAGTTAGTACACAAGCACGTCCTCTCTAGTCAATACACAAGGCAGTTCTCTCTAGTAATTACACAACAACGTCCTCTCTCATCAGTACACAAGATAGTCCTCTCTAGTCAGTATTCAAACAATTCCTCTCTAGTCAGTACATGCACACAAGGCAGTCCTTTCTCGTCAGTACACAAGCACGTCCTCTCGAGTCAGCACGCAAGCACGTCCTTTCTAGTCTGTACACAAGGACGTCCTCTCTAGTCAGCACATAAGCACGTCCCCACTAGTCAGTACACAAGGACGTCCCCGCTAGTTAATACACACGGACGCCTTCTCTAGTCAGGAAACAAGCATATTCTCTCGTCAGCATGCAATGTTCATGACGCCCTCTCTGGTCAGTACACAAGGACACGTTCTCTCTTAATAAATGTTATATAAAACCATCACAATTTGTGGTTCTAGATGAAGGTAACACCAAACATTTTAACAGATGTATTAGTATTCTAATAACAAGCTAGGGCAGGACTTGTACATTATTGTGATAGCATGGACTATTTGGTCAAGCTTTTTCACTCTGACATGTATTCACTCTGTATTCGCAATGTGATCTCCCCCAAATATACTCTTCAAACCTTTTCTGGCACGGTTTACATTTCCTACGGTGCCCTTACCAATCACCCCACCCCATCCTAGGATGTTATGCCTTTGGATAATACAGTAAACTACGGTAATAATGAACTTAAAGGGACCACTAATTTTAGTTCGTTATAACCGTTGTTCGTTTTAAGCATATATACAGCATAACGACAGCAAATAGTCGGTACAAAAAAGTAGATTCGTTATATCCGTCAGTTCGTTATAAGCATGTTCGTTATAAACGTAGTTTACTGTACCACATGACCTTATGACTCAAAAACCAGATAACTGGACTGAAGAAGATACGCTAGATATTGCTGGTATAATATTGTTGATTGACGAAGATTGAGACATTTCCAGATAGGATTTTAGAATCTAAAATGATTGTGTATGGTGTATATACACTCGTAACAGCAGCGGGAAAGATTACAACAGTCTACTCACTTTCAAACTCGACATGAATACTTTTGAATTGGTTGAAAAGAAGTGATAGTGCATATATTCTGTAGTATACATTGCATTGTTACCAAAAGAGTGGTCCCCGGATATGGATGTTACCAATAGAGTGTTCTCCACGTCAAAACACCGTAAGTTGTGTGGAACTGTATATCGGCTCGCGCAGATCATGTGGTATATTGTCAGTCTGTATTAACCACCCGCGGATTTGTTCAAAGTGAATTTTACAAGTGGTATACTGGCATAAAAAATATATGTGTGATGACATGACATTACCGAACATTAGTGAACTCATTTCTATCTACAGATGAAATATTTTTACTTATAAATTGAGTGAGATTTTGTTTGTGATGCACAAACATGTAACAATCGTTTTTTATTTTATTAAAAAGCGCAATGTTTAATAATATTCATGGGTATATTTAGATTTATCTTATTTCATACAATGGCGTAAAGACCATAACGATGATCAAACTCATCTCCCGATAGCTGGTGAATAACAATGGGCACATGTTCTGAACTCTCGGGTAAACCCTGCCATCATCTAGCGGGAAACATTGATACACATATAATATCTATGTCCTTTCCTTATTTTGATGGCCATATGCTCCATTTGTAAATGACAGGGGGAAATATGATAATGTGTACATACTGTTTGGTGTATTCAAATCCTTATTATCTCGACTTGAAAGCCTGGAGCATTTGACTCTTGTCTGTTTGTTCAATATGTCACATTGATAACATTGGGCTTTTGTAACCAGCTCAATATGAAGGTCATATAGTTCATCAGTAACAAGGATAAATTCATCATGTGCGTTATGTGTGCCTGACTTGGCGAATGCCAATGACTAAGTCGGATAAATACCTGGATTACGGTAGGGCATATACTTCCCCTGTTATTTGGGACAAATTATAATGGCTATCATTTCATCATTAATTATGAATTGTATTCATTCTAGACGCGTGGTCTCAATGTCAATGTTTGTGTCAGGACAGTGTGGTCCCTCGAGAACAAAACAATACAAACATATAGTATCATCAACATGTCTCCCATTTGTTCTTGTGTGTATACCTCTCAGACGTTCTATTTTGTGTATACTATGTAGACATATGTATAACTATTTTCAGATATATTTGATATTTCATTTTTTTACAACCTGTGGGAGAGACGACCGTTTGAGATAACTGGTATCCAACATAGATGTACACTCTTCACAAAATGAAACGCACAGATAGTATATAGTTCATTGAACCTGACTACACAAAAATTCGGTATATAAATTGGATATGCGTTTTTGGAAAATGTTAGTGGCCTGATATTCGACAAACGGTGCGTCAAAACGCAGCCATTTTCGATTTGCAATGTCTTAAACGGCATTGTTTTGACACTTGTTCAAAGATGTCATGGAAGAAAACAGCAAAGCAAAATACACGTGCCATTTATGGCATTCGTAACTCGCGGTAGTGGCTATAAAAAGGCAAACATAAACCAATAATTTGTCATTCAAATGTCAACATTTTTCAAGTTCGAAAATGCCGACACTCAGCACTGACGATCGGAACATCGCCATATGACGTATCCGCCTTTGGGACCGATACACACAGTTCAATTCCACTGCAGACCGTCCGAGAACCGGACGACCAATAGTTACCACCCCTGCACAGGATCGCTACATTCGGCTGTTCCACCTACGTCATCGCAATGTCACAGCTACGGAGACTGCAGGACGCATCACTGGTTTAAGGAGGATGTCCTACCAGACTGTCAGGAACCATCTTCGCGAGGCTGGAATCCCACCCAGAAGACCAGTTATCGTTCCTGTTTTGCAACAGATCCATCGACGAAGACGCTTGCGTTAGTGCCATACCTTACAGCCTTGGAATTTGAGAAACTGGAGACGAGTGTGGTTTAGCTACGAATCACGATTTCTTCTTCACCGGGGAGATGGAAGACAACGTGTTTATCGTCATCGAAATGAGCGATTAGCCCCACATTGTGCACGTGAATTCGACAATTTCCGTGGCGGTATTGTCATGGTGTGGTGGGCCATATCCTACACCACGAGATCTGACTTGGTTGTGGTTCAGGGAAATCTGACAGCAACCGCTACATGAATCAAATTCTTCAACGTCACATTCTTCCAATCATTGACCGCCAGAGGGAGCTGTTTCAACAGGACAACGCTCCGCCGCACACAACTCGTGTGATGGTAGACTACCTACATAATGCAAACATCAACGCCTTGCCCTGGCGGTCGAGATCTCCAGATCTCAACCCAATCGAACACCTCTTGGATGAACTCGATCGACGTGTACGTCAAGGGCAGGACACGCCGCAGACACACCCACTACTGGCCAACGCGTTAAAAGCAGAATGGCGCAGAAATCCGCAGGACAGAATTCTTACATTTATCCAGTCAATGCCGAGGAGATGCAGAGCCTTGATTGCGCAACCTTGTGGCCTTACGTGACATGACAATGAACAGTTTTCAATGCATATAAACAACGACAACATGTGACTATCGAGCTCCAAAATTTTATATTTGTATATATTATACTAAATTAAATATATCGACTTTATTAGGTACAATAAATTCACTAACAATCTACCTTTCCTTTTTGGAAGAGTGTAAACAATGACCTAAGGTACGATTATGACGGACTACTTTCCTGATCGTAAATCATTGATAAGTTACTGGTGCTTCAGTCAAATGTTCACCTACGTCTGTGTTAGAATGTAGAATGAGATTTAGAATGTTAACCCCCTAGATGCCTAGAATGTAGAATGTTAGATTTAGAATGTTAGCCCCCTAGATGCAACAGGTACATATGTGTCCTCACCTTCACCCCAACTCTTCAATTGGGAATGACAAATAAATACTCTACAATGCAAACCCAAACTCGCGCATATCGGCAACAGGATATATTTCCATTTCCTACGCTGTCTCTATGTTACAATGGAAAACAAAAGCGTGATAAACAATACAGAAATTGTCAGATTAATTTATGTATAAATCAACGAAACAACGAAATTTAATATGTCAGTGAAACCCGAGGGATGCAGATCTGCAGAAAAGGCTGTGTGCGGCTTGCCCACATTGCGAGTGATGCCTGTGTCATCTGTATAATGAACTTCCTCGAAACGAACGGGCAATGAATAATTAACTGTGAGAAAGCGGATGTGATAAGTGAGACAGTTAAGTATTCACTATGCATATTGTAAGCAGTGTTGAAGTGTACACATTTGATAAAGAACACCTGACCTCGTCTGTCTCTACATATCGATCGCTGAAAGTGTCATGGTTAAATTCTCAAAATAACTGATGTTAATCGTTTTACACGACTTGCACATTAATTTGATGGCATGGACTATTTGGTGTATCCTTGATACAAATCAAGAAACCTATCTCTGATATATTGCCTCTGTTAAGTTACAAGATGCTGTCCTCATGGTACATGCATGTACGGCTGCTAGTGTTACTGTTGTTGTTAGCCGATATATACTTCTGAGACAGGCATCTGTCCTGATATTACATGGGTCTCCCCATGTAGCTGTCTATGTCTTGTATAACACAATGTACTGTTTAATTAAGTCAGCTGTCGTAGAGGTACACACGACTACATTGACTGTCTCTGTTTTAATAGTCTGACAGGTAGTTGTACATGTCCCCGTGTTACATGCAGATACCCATGTCAGTGTCATTTTAGGATACAATACTTCTGTTGCAACTTCCCTGATGTTACATAAAAGATACCAGTGGCACTGACGAAATGTGATTTATACTTCTGTTTCAATTGCCATTATATTACATACGGCAACACAGTGTGTATCTCTGATATGATATTTCAGTAACAGGCATGTTATCCCGGTGGTATATGCAGATACCAGTATCAGTGTCTTTTTACAATATAATACTTTTGCTAACACTGCCCTGATGTTACATATAGTTATCAGTATCACTGTCTTTTCCTGACAAAATGCTTCTGAAACAGGCGGCTGTCTTGACAGTAAACTTGCCTACCAGTGTCACTGTTTATTTCTGATACAATGCTTTTGTTACAGGCAGCTGTCCTTACATTGAATTTGGCTTGCTTTTCTACTGTCGTTACCACTGTCCTGGTGGTACATATGGATAACCACGTCACTGTCAACCTATGGTATAATGTCTATATATTACAAGCAGCTGCCTTGATGATACATACTTCTGTCAGTGTCACTGTCTATCTATACTATTCTGCTGCTGTTACAACTGCCCTGATTGTACATATGGATACCCATGTCATTGTTTTCCTATGGTATAACGTTTATATATTACAGGCAGCTGCCTTGATGATACATACTTCTGTCAGTGTCACTGTCTATCTATGATATAATGCGTATATTACAGGCAAGTGCCCTGGTGGTACATACGGCTACCAGTGTAGTTACAACTGCAACTGTCCCAACGCCACGTGTGATTTTAGAGATGGGTGCAGAAATCAGACCTGCAACAGAGGGTGGTCAGGACCGACATGCCAGAAATGTAAAGTAATAAATTTCAGTGTACTTTTGACTCTAAATCAGCGTAAGACTATCAGAGCGGTAAAGCTAATTCTTATCTGCAATTTGTCAAATGTCTTACATAGACATGACCTCAATAACAAAATAAAGAATCGTTACGTTCTTCGGATGTTCATATCGCCATTTCAATACATTCTCTCCTTTCAAATACTTTTTAATCCTAAATAGTATTCTGATCGTATCAAAATCCATGACTTTGTTGCTTGAAGCTATCTCGCTTCAACAGAGGCTTTAGCAGTAACGCGTATACCTTTTATATCGGATAAACGTCAGTGCAAGGGCTTTGATAAAGACAGTGACTGAACGGCTGTAACACCGCTTTCAACACTACGTCCGTTATATCACGGTGTATCAGTTTCATGTGAGAAGAATGCTTTGGTGCACAGGTATGATTCTGTTGAGCCATAAATCGTCAAGGCATATCTGGGAGTCAAACCCACGATTACCGGATACTTGCAGGCCTCGAGGACATCCTTCTACACAGCGAATTGTAGTTACACCGCCTAGCACACCTGCGCTATCTGTGCACAATTTCCTAAAAACAAGCTAAGTGTAGATCAGCATATAACATGTGTCAAAGCACCCTAGAGTGTCATCTGAAGGTGTGATCCTCTATTTCCGAACATTACATTTGATACATTTTCTGTTGTGAAACAAAGTTGCAAACGGACCTATGGTTGTTCTTTACTCTAACATTATATCTTATGACAGATAACAAAGCACTCGGTAAACCAACATCAGCCAGTTGCGTCCATCTCCATCAGTCACCAAGTAAGGCTGTGGACGGAGTTACCATAGCGAGCCACGATAGCTTCTGCTTTCATTCAGCCTTCAACGACGCTAGTATAGCAGATGCATGGTGGAGAGTGGATCTGAGTGAGATGACACAAATACATGACGTCACCATATACCTCAGGACAGACCGTGAGTCGTTTACATCCCACTGTAAAGACTATTTTATGTCTTCTTAGCTAATAATTACCACTGTGCAGTTTGTGCCAAAACTACGTCAACCTGTTTCAAACGACATGAAACTTAGACCTTGTCTCAGGGTTGTCAAATCCAGAAAGGTGGCGTTTGCTCAGTTCTGAGTCTAGTCTACATTTGGTCATGGGTTCAGTATTGTACACATGCATACATGAAACTTACTTCGTAATGATTTCCAAAGATTAGAAATTGTGAACATTTGTTATTTCACGTAATATGTAGGTAGGAGTAATTGTGCAACGGTTAGAGGTTGCAGGTATTATAAGGGTACACACACAAGCCCCTCCTACCGACAGCCCATTCATATCTGCCGAGTGTGTTAGGTGGACTACAGCAATGCGTGGAATAAAAACGCAATCGGCTGACCGTTATGCTTACAAACAAGCGGAATGCCGCATCCCCAACTTTCAGAACCCCCATCCAACCACATCCTCAGCCTTATGTCCGATAGGCATATTTTAGGATGTTGACTGTTTGTTTGTTTGTTGTTTAACGCCGCACTCAGCAATATTCCAGCTATATGACGGCGGTCTGTAAATAATCGAGTCTTGACCAGACAATCCAGTGATTGACATTACGAGTATCGATCCATTGTGATACGATGACGTGTATTAACCATAGTCACACAGCCTGACCACCCGATCCCGTTAGTCGCCTTTTACGGCCAGCTTGGGTTGCTGAAGACCTATCCTATCCCGGATCTGCACGAGTCTGTTTCATGATTGACAAAGATGTTGCTTATGTATACATGTTTAAGGTATAAAATATATATGAGTGATCCTATTTTCATAAATATACATTTTCTAATTAAGACATTTGTATCAGTTTTGACATTTAACAGATAAAGTTCGTCGGAATGGTATCCAGATCTACACAGCTGAAACTGACGCCTCCCCACCTGCCGGAGACCACTGCTACAACTTGACAGGGAAGGAGGACGGGACAGACATACCTGATGTTTTGAACGTCACATGTTCTGGTAACGGGCGCTATCTAGTGCTGTACACAACTGTAAAACACAGCGGTGACACAGTACCCATTTTGGATTTCTGCGAAGTGCAGGTTGACGGTAGGAATCATGTTTAATATCATATATAACTCATCAATCTCCAAGTTTTGATTTTTCATATGTTCATTTAAATATCAATATGCTCTTTGTTTTCTGATGTTTTAAACGTGTTCCGGGGAAGGGATCGACCTGGCCCTGTACACCATTACTGTAATCAACGAAAGTATCCATGTTAACAATACCCATCCTGGATTTTTCATAAAAAAAAACAGGGAAGCTTCACCAAAAACAAATGACACAATAGATACTATTGTTAATCCTAAATTCCACTTTAAACACTTGAACATCGGTCGACAAGTAATCTAAACTGCCGCATTTCACCCAACATATTTGCCCCAAACCATGTTCTAAGCCTCAGAAACGCTTATTAACATCGTAACCGTAGGGTTTCCCCTACATAAATTTAATTCAAATAATTCACTCTATTTTGTTATTAATGAGACGAGTAATAAAAACCAGGGAAAAGAATGGCAACAAACGCATATTTACATATATACAGTATTTGAATAGTAATGTACCTTTAGCACATTTCTTGTTGCACACTACTATTACTTTATGGACACTGGTTTTACTAATTTTAACAACATATTTCTGAAATGTGTTCACATAAGCGATTATATGAAGTTAATTAAGTTGTGATGCATTCTATAACACATTTTACACATTTGTTTTGTATACTTTAATCCTTGTAGATGCGGGTACATGTATATGCATGAATGTTTTCATAGTAAGTAAAATGCATATAACCTTCCTTTTCCCTCATCAATAGTTTGCAGTCCTGGTACTTTCGGCTCTGACTGTGACACCTACTGCCACTGTGACGGTGAGGTGTGCGACTACGTGAGCGGCATCTGTCCGAGTGGATACTGTCTCCCAGGCTGGAAGCAAGACAAGTGTGACACAGGTTCCTATTTGATTTTGTGCTGATATTTTTCATCAAGAATCAACCTTCAGGATCGTATATTAGTCCCAAACTTAAAACAAAAACAGTCGAGGGCATACAGCTCATTTGTAACTATATTTAAAATCTTCATGTTTTCAGAGTGTATCCCCGCCTATTATGGACTAAACTGTAATAAGAAATGCTCTGATAGGAACTGCAAGACCGACAACTCTAGCTGTGACCACGTGACAGGGGAGTGTGTTGGGGGTTGTTTGACAGGGTTGAATGGAACAGACTGTACACAGAGTAAGACCATAATGTACTTACAACAAATCAATACCTGGCCTTAACTGCTGAAAATATCTCCAGGGATCTCAAACACAATTTGATGCACCAGATCATTGGTTCAAGTTTGACACTAATAAGGGGATAAATATTTTTAAATATTTCATAGTTCCTACGTATTTGATGCATGGTACAAATGTATCAATAAACACGTTCTAGAATGCTTACTTACCTATGGAGACGACTGTGCTTACCTGTGCTCTGCCAGACACTGCAGTGAGACATTTTGGTTTGGGTACACCTAGTCCTTGTGTGACCCTCTAACCATAGTGTTTAAACAGTCTGACTTAGTTTATACTTCAAAATACCAATACATTCATATATATATACTTGATGTATATGCAAGGGCGTTAGATCTTGGCATACCAACTGTCCAGGCATTGATGTTACGTTTATACATTCTTAAATCCAATATCAATCAGTCAGCTTCAATACACTGCTGAACGTGTGCTGAACATACAAAAGGTTTTGGTATTCACTTTTCCAGTCAAGGAAATGACATTGTGTGTATGCAGTGCGCATAGAGTAAGATACAGAAACCGTTATTGTCAAACATTCTATACGTTTTGAATGAAATCAATGAATGAGTGGCTTGCCATGTTTCATGTTACTAACGGACCTAAATTATGTAACATTTCTTTATAAAGTGTGTCTGTGAGCGTGTGTGTGTATGTCTATAGTTTAATTATCCCCAAGGAACCTATGTTTCTACTTCAAATGTAATCTGTGTTTTGATCACCTCCAAATAACAATAAAATCAACAAGGGTATGGTAGTTAATCATATAGTGCATTCGTTTAACTATGTTGAACTTCATGTTCCAGAATGTACCCTTGGCAAGTATGGACCAAACTGTAATCAGAAATGCTACAATAGGAACTGCGAGGACGACAACTCTAGCTGTGACCACGTGACAGGGGAATGTGTTGGGGGTTGTATGGCAGGATGGAATGGAACAGACTGTACACAGAGTAAGACCATAATGTTTTTACAACAAATCGATACCTGGTCAAGCTTGTTTGAAAAAACACCAGGTATCCCAACCACAAATTCATGCATCTAACCAGAGGGGTTGTCAGACGTTCTCAATGCACCAATAGAGGTACACATGTCTTCTATTATCAATTGTTCCTTCATATGTGATGCCTGGTACTCATGTATTCATAAACTTGCTTTAGAATGCTTACATACCTTCGGAGACGGCTGTGCTTACCTGTGCTCTGACACTGCAGTGAGACACCAACATGTGATCACGTAACCGGCAAGTGTGAAAACGGCTGCAATCCCGGATGGAAAGACACTGACTGTACAACAGCGTGACACACTTATTTTTTTTAATCCGTTCAATACCTTCCTGTGTGCCCCTCTGGCCATAGAGTTTAACAACACGGTAGCAACGGTAGCGATGTTCACATGGTAACCTTCTGAAATCTGTGAAGTATCATCAGCGTGTACAAAAGTGCGAATATATCATGGAAGACCTTTAAAGTATATGCCAATGTTTCATTTTGTTAAAGTGAGGATTCTTTGTAAAACTCAATGGGTACATTTTTCAGTGGTTGTGATACTGTAAAAGTAATAATATCGTGATAATGACTGTATGCCAAACGTATAATTGTACAAGGAATAATGTTTTGTCACTAGGGATGAGTGTAAGTGTTGTGGAGTTGTCTGTTAGTGTGAATCAGAGTAGGGACACATGCTGTTTGTGGATGGAATGATATCATGTCAGTGAGCAAGGAAGAAAGGAGTCCAATTGCAAGACAATTTGGGCACACTATGGCTAAACACGAAAGGACACTATATATCATTGGGTGTATACTTAGTGATGCTGGTATAAGCTTGAACGTGACTACCACACAATTTTGTCTTGATAGTACTTCTGAAAACATATATTTAATACTCAAAACACAGAAGGTGTTTTTTAAAGGTAAAAAAACCCACTTTGTTTCTTTTGTCAAATAGGCATTATTTGTTTTTATTTTACAAGAAGGCACTTAATCAGTGTTATTGTCAGTTAGTGTCACGATAATTGGATAGCTTTCCTTTTGTATCGAGTGATGCAAAGCTCCAGCTTTTAGTGTTTACATTTTGACATTTTAACTTTGGAGCTGCAAACGGGCATGCTCTTTCTACCAAGACTTCCAAGAGTGTCATACGACGGACTCTTGTTCAGACGGGTTTTTTTTATCAAGGCTGCACCATTGAAGGCCTAAGTGGAGCTTGCAGTTGGTAGACATGTGGAAGACATTTCCAAATGTGATGCACTGGTTACAAAAGTGATGTCCGATGCAACTCCCTGGATTGTGCTTGCATAATGACAAGCGATTAGTGTACTTGTATGAGACCATGTGCTTTTATAATGTCAAAATGGGATGTCCTTGTAATATGTTCTCGTGTTTTTCAGGCGAACATTTGACTTGCCTTTGCGTGTGTTAGTGACGAGTGCCACCGGTGGGGTGAATACGCTCACCCTTTCGGTCAACACCTGCTATCATCGCTTTTTGGTAGTGATTTATAAACACATGCTCATGCTTTTTGCAGATATTTATCATCGATATGGAAAGGGTTTTGTCACTTTTGTTTACACGAAGAAATCCATTGAAAATCCTGATCCTTTGGAAAGATTCTATACACGATGTGATGTAATAATTGATGATGATGCCATCCAGTGTTATCGGTGGCGGAAAAGAGGAGAAATAAATGTTCATTGTTCAGTAGGTTCAGTTCTACATTCCCGTCGCTGTAAAACATCATCCTCTAGTTCCTGCATAAAAGGAAGGAAAGGTGGCTTAATACTGACTGAGTTATTAAGATTTAATTAAATTCCGCCTGTTCTGTGTCCAACTTGTACGAGCGGGAAGAATCGCCCTAAAGCGTATGATTCTCGTTTGGGTGAACATTCATCCCTAGCCTGTGATTACATGATGTGAACCTGTACCAGAGGATATAAGCACTAAATGAGTGTTTGGTGATAGTTATATAACAAGGTTAAAAGCTGTGGCAGTGCAAGTGCAGGATGATAAATGCACAACACTTTGGGAAAGGGTGTTCAGGTTTTTGTTGATAGGATTACAAAACACTCTCTATCAAATAGTCACCTTGTCGTAACTGGAGCATGCTTTTGTTCACATTTGAATGATATCACTTCATTACTTAAGATCTGAATTGCTAACCTTCAGAATGTAAACCTGGAACCTTTGGGCCTGACTGTTCTCGTTGCGGCTACTGTGACGTCACGTGTAATGTTGGCGATGGGCACTGTCCAGGAGACTGTCTGGACGGCTTTACCGGTGACCGATGTGATGTGGATGTCAGAGGTTAGAATCTCGTTGAACCTTTTTTGTGCTTCCCTTATTAAATTAATCAACATAAGGACCACATATTAAATGTAGTTTGATGTTAAACATTTATCACACTAACACAGTTCTCATGGCGCAATATATACTGAACAACAAAAGTTCCTGTGATATCGAATAAGATTTAATGCAAAGTGATGTTCTTTAACCAAATCAGAAACAATTTCGGTTTGCAACAGATAAAAGACTCCTGTAAGTGTTCAAATTGTTTAATTTGCCATACTGACTTCAGAAAATGCTTGATTTCATAATAATATGAATATGCCAAAATGTCAATTTACAAATCAATAGAGTCCACCTCTGGTTGCAATGCAAGCAACACATCTTCGTCTCATGGAATGGGCCAGGCGTCACACAAAGTCCTGTGGGATATCTGTTCATATCTGCTGGAGCAAGTTTCGAAGTTTCTGGAGTGTCTGTGGAACACGTGGTATCCATCTCATCCCACATGTGCTCGATTGGTAGAGATCAGGGATCGAGCCGGCCAGGGGATGACAATCACGTTGTTTTGTTGAAGAGAATCCTGAACAAGTCGAGCAATTCGAGGCCGGGGGTTGTCATGTTGAAAGATCATGCCTGGGCCATGACGACGCAAAAACGGTAGAATAACAGGGCCGATGGTCTCGTCGCGGTAGCGCTGTCCATTGAGATTACCCTCTTCCACTATCAAACGGGTCCTCTGTCTTGCTGTAACCCCCCCCCCCCCCCCCCATACCATAACGCTGCCGCCCCCGAACCGATCTGATTCCATGACACAATGCTTGACGTAGCGTTCACCTCGACGTCGATACACTCGCATCCGTCCATCGGTGTGGCTGAGGTGAAAACGAGACTCGTCAGTGAATAGAACTTGTCCCCACTGCCTTGCCGTCCAGCGTAGAACGCTCTCTGCACCACTGTAGACGTACTTGAAGGTGGTTTCTTGTCAAAATGGGACGTCGGGGGGTCTTCTGGCGACAATCCCTACACATCTGAGGCGGCGACGTTCGGTTTGTGAAGATATTCGTCGAAGGCCAGGGGTGCTTCTTGCAGTCACTGTTGCTGGCTGGAATCGATTTCGTAGGTTTGTTGTTCAAATCCAGTTGTCATGTTGGGGAGGGTCTCTGACTACATTCATCTGTTGCCTACGTTGCCATAAACACCAGATGGTGTTTCTGTGGACGTTTAATTGTCTTGCAACATCACGTTGACTCGATCTTGCTTCAAGCAAACTAATGGCTCGCAGAAGCTCATTTTCGGACAGGCGTGGCATTTCGTAATGTTGCATTATTGCGTCATTTTCTTGTTTTTCTGAGCGGTTGTTGTCAGCACGATGCTGAACAATGCATATGGAATCCCGTTAACGCACATGTTTTTATACCCATTCTTGGGTAGTAAAATGCATGGGGCTTGCATAAAAGTCAACTTTTGCATGGAATGTATGCTTTTCTGTAGCAGCTGCGTTTTGGTGACTTGATTCCATACATGTACTACAATATTGAAAACCAAACTTTACTTGTTTGAAAAATACACTGAAATATTGGTGTCACAGGAACTTTTGTTGTTGAGTATAGACACGTTAAGCTGGCATACGGATGACGCAAAATATCTTATGTGCAGCATAACATAATGTTTCGATTAATGTGTGTTATGGCATTCAATCCAGTGTCATCTGTAACAAGTGGTGTCATCGGGGGAGCAATAGGAATGGCTGTGATGTTGTTGCTTATTGCTGGACTGACCGCATGTCTGATTCGAACTGGAAGGTAACTGCACGCATTTTATAAACATTATACGTTCGGTATTAAAATCATTCTGTTCAGAATAATTCAAGCATTAGAGTTTTTATGGGATTGTCCGCCATACTTTCATGTTTCAGACTGACGTGGCGATCATCAGCTTGCGCAGATCCTAAAGACGGGAGAAATATGACTGTTACAGACACTGGGGAGATTCCTGCACACGCGCATGTTTCCGGTGTTGATGGTCAAGACTATGTTGAACTGAATGACCTCACAAGAGAGGAAGATAAGATGTCAACGTATAATGTGATTCAAAACTAAGAATATTTAAATAATCTAATCTAAGAATCACATGTCTGTGCAATCACGAAAATGTTGAACAACATTATTGTTACACCACGTCGTATTGATTTGACGTGCAAAGAACCCCGAAATGAGGCAATAGATACCTCGTTGTATAATTGTGTTTGCTAAATACTTTTCCGACAACCTTTCTTGAAACAAGGACAAAATTATTCACGATCATGGACCTTATTGATGTTGCTTGGTATTTTGCTTGTAAAGATGTCAAAATCGAATATTATCAGTATCAGATTAAATATTTCGCGAAATACGTGCATTGTATGTCCATGCCAAGATCAGTGTGATAAACAGACGTTTATCAGAACGTTCATAACGTTTTTTGGCTTCCATGTGTTCCATGCCAACGAATCCTGAAAAATAACAATAATAACTTCATTTTATTGTTTGCATTATCAAATGTCAGAGTAGCAAAGCGTAATGTATTCTGATTTGCATCTTCACTGTTGTGTGTTTCACAAGTGGTTTGGCAGTTATCGTGTGTAAAGTAACACAAGGATCAGAGTACGCAGAATGGTATGGTATGTCATTGTATGGTACTAGTGTTCAACATGGGCCACACAAATGCCTGGGCTGACTTGCGATGCAAAATGTTTGAAGGGATGCAATTCTTGTTCAGATAATGTCACAGTCGTTATTTAACCTTGCTCCACTGATTGCTATACATGAAGTATGTTATGTTATGTTTTATGTTATATGTCTAATGATCATATTCTTATGTACATTGTATTTTGACTTTATGAATTTGTATTGTTCGTTGTTTATATGTGTCCTTTTTTGTCGTTTTTATCCCGCACTGTAACGCTATGTGACAATGACGTAAAGTATAACGCTTATAACGAAAACAGTAAGATTATATTCTGAGACGTTATGGGAAGAGACCTTAACTGGGTCGAACTTATGTTTTTCGGCAGTTATAATCATTAGTATGAAGTATGAAATTATCCGATTATGTAGTTTTTACAATGATACGTGTTCCTTTTGTCATTTAACTTGAGACTCTCGCTAGATTAATTTTTTTTCAGTAGTCTCCTTCAGGTGTGTCATTGTAATGATTAGTATATGTAATTTAACTGTAAATATGTACCTTGAAATCCTTGTCAGTCACCACTTTCGCGATATTCCTTAACAATATTTGTTTGATCATTAGGATAGATTGAATTACCTTGTTTTGCGTCCGTTCGAAAATAATAAAGAACGTTAGGTTTCTTTAAATTACAAACTAAACATATATTTTATTGCAAATGTATACGTATATGTCTTTTAGTTCGTTATATATGCCCTGTTGGGATTCTGGGATTCTGGATTTTAAGTGGTTCCCTCAAACGTTGATTTGTCGTAAGGTCCGACTTAATGGATCGGTGGTCAGGCTGGGTGGCGTGTCATCACATCCCGACGGCGTCGATTGTTGCTCATAATATCAATCACTGATATCTGGGCCAGACTCGATTATATACAGGCCTCCGCCTGTGGTCTAAATATACGTTAGTTTTAAAATCAACATCAGTATTGAAAAAACATGGTTATAGTTATTACTTTGTAAAAATAAAACCCGAACAATTGTGGAGTTTCATCATATTTATATAATGTTAGGTAAAACTCGTAAAGGTAAACAAGTAACCATTCACATTTGTTATAAAAAATGTTAAAACCCACACTCCTCGGCACGGTGCTCTCGCTATGACAGTTTTTGCAAGAACTGTGCGCGCGAAAATAAATTTATTGAAGAAATCAAAGATTGTGTATTGAATTAATTAAGACCTTCATAAGCTCTTTGGACCAGACGTTCCAGTATTTTTTTTAAAAGAAGAACAACACCTCTTCTTGTAAATATGTTTTACCGTCTACTGACCATGCTTTTTTATCACTTTCTCATTGTCTTTTCTCATACCTTCACTCACATTTCCCAGTCTTTCGAATCGCTTGTAGCATTGCCATATTCTGGTATATTTACATAGAAGAATGCAATAATGTTTCAAATAAAGAATTTCGTAATAAACAATAAATGTAGAAAGCGAGATTTGTTGTTATTTGCGGAATTTTAAACATACCGAATAAGTACATACTCAATGTGATATGTCTATGTGTCTATCATTATCCACAATATTACATACAAAAGCATGACCGATAGCTATATTGTAAGAGGTTTGACTCGCCTTGGTATGTTTTTGCGAATATTAACAAGAAACGACAACTCGGTCTATTTTGCGTGAGTGAGTGAGTATGGTTTTACGCCGTTTTAATCAGTATTTCAGCAATATCAACGCGGGGAACACCAGAAGTGGGCTTCAAACAATGTACACATGTCGGGAATCGAACCCGGGTCGTCGGCGTGACGTTCGAACGCTTTAACCACTAGGCTACCCGACCGCCCCCGGTCTATTGAGTGAATAGACAATGTAAACTCAACGCAGGAAATATGCTGAGCCCACTGAAATAGATGTACGCAGTGACTTGCTAAACATGTTAAACATGTTATAACCAAGGACAGTGTCAAGGAAGATACTTTCAACTGTATTGTAAAAATGCATGAATTATCAACATCATTACAAGTAAGACGAGTTCTATGGATGAACAACTTCCTTATAACAGTTAGTGCGACGTTTCGGTGTAGATGCTAACACCTTTGTCCAGCAAGTGATGATTACTTACTTACTTACTTACTTACTTACTTACTTACTTACTTACTTACTTACTTACTTATGTGTTTCCGAAAGGGGCGAAAGAGGTGTGTGCAACCCAAGAGGGGGCTTTAGGGGTTGCTTATATAAAATTTGGGAATTTTGAGATTTGGAATAGATGCCGATGGGGTTGGGGAGGAGAACTAAGGTAGCTGGGTATGGTGGATGTTTGTTTGTTTATGTGATTTTGATTTGATAGATTATTTTGTTTTAAGATGCGTTTTATTAGTTCCGTTTTGATGAAGAATACGCCAAAGGCCTTGAAGTTTTCTAGTTTATTATTATTATTATTATTATTATTGTTATTATTATTATTATTCTAGTTTTGTGGGTTTGGTATTGCTTCTAGAGTGAGAGCCTTGTTTAGATTGAGGGTGGTTTGTAATGCGATTCGATGTGTTAGGTAGTGTGTGCAGTGGATGAGTGCGTGTTCTGGGGTTTCTAGTTTGTTTGCAGTGTGGGCAGTTACCTGTAGTATGTTTTTTTTAATTTGTTTAGGTGGTTATTTAGGTTGGTGTGTCCTGTTTGGAGTTTAGTGATTACTCTGTCGATTTTTTTATGGTTGGAGAAATGTTGGTTTGGTTAGTGGTTTCCTGAGTACTATTTTGATTTGGCTATTTGAGTTTAGAATAGGTAATGCCATTTTTTAGTGATGTTTTGCTTGTTTACGCTTTTAATTTCTGATTTTGAGATGGGTAAGTTTAAGCTTATTTCTGGGATTTTGAGGGATAGTTTAGCTGCTTTATCGGCGTTTTCATTACCGTATATTCCTAAGTGGGCGGGGATCCATAAGAATGTTATTTGTTTGCCTGTCTTAGTTAGGTCGTTGGAGCTTTTAAGTATTTGATTTATTAATTTAGGTCGTTTTTTTGTATTTTTGTTTTGGAGGGCTTGCAGTCCACTTAGGGAGTCGGTAAGTATTAGGATTTTTGTGTGTTTTTTTATATTCTTGATTGTGGAGGGCTGAGGCCATGCCCATTAGTTCTGCCGTGAATATTTATTGGTTGTCTGATTGGATAGTGCTAAACAACATAGGTACATATACTTATTAACATCAATGTTTATACAGTATATTGATTGATGTACACAGACAGCTGATTAAGATAATTGGAAGGGATGACTAATGAACACAGAGTCAACAAGCAGACTGATAGAGATGATGGAAGCCAGTGGATTATTTGGATGGGATTTAGCAATTAGGTGATGGTAAACAAGCAGGATGTAATAGCCTTGATCTCTGTTGATTGCTGGCTGGATCCTTTTTATGTAGATGGCTTCTAGGAGTTTCGTGATTTTGTAGTCTGATTGATTGTTGGCCAGGATCTTGATGTTGTTCCACTGGATGTTGTGGTCGGGGTGGGTTTGGGTGTGGTCGGAGATGGCTGATTTTGAGTCATGTTTTTGTACAATCAATCTACTGTATAAACATTGATGTTAATAAGTATATATACCTTTGTTGTTTAGCACTATCCATCACTTGCTTGATAAAGGTGTTAGGATCTACACCGAAACGTCGCACTAATTGTAAGTTGTTCATCCATAGAACTCGTCTTACTTCATCACACCAACTTCTACACGCCGTGATATGACTGGAATACTGTTTAAAAACGGCGTTAAACCCAACTCACTCACTCACCAACTTCTAAATGCCACTGATAGAAACATCATTACAAGATATTCCACAAATGACAACGAACACGAAGGTATTGCGTGAGGAGAGGGGGGGGGGGGGGGGGGGGCAGGGAGAGTGTCAAGGAAGATACCTGCAATTGTATTGTCAAAATGCATGAATTATCAACACCATTACAAGTTATGCCACGAATGACAACACACACGAAAGTATTGTGTCAAGTTTGGAGAGGAGGGGGGGGGGGGGGGTTGCTCAGTAATTGATCAACCATCAAGACTTTAACATTACCACATGGAACTCCATGTAATCCTTCAGAATGTCACACTTGTCAGTCAATATCGCATTACCCACCACGGGCGACAATGCACGCCCTCGATTCGACGACAGGTAGAAGATGTGAGACGTCAGATCACCAGAAATGGGATTCGACAGCATTAATCTTGGAGGACTGTCATTAACAGATCATTGTTAAAAGGGGGACCTGGTCTTGCTCTATTTTGTTGGTCAAGGTGATCCCACAGTACACGTAGGTGATAAGTCTGATGGGGCCTTGTGTTATCTTGTTATAAGAGTAATTCCGGGGATTCTGTTGCAAGAACGGTAGCACAGCAGGGTAGAGAGATTAATCAAGGTAGCACTGTCCAGTTTCTTTCCAAACCCTTCAGATCTGTTTTGACCTGGTTAATAATGTCACCTTAACATGGCTAATGATGCCACATTGACATGGCTAATGGTGCCACATTGACATGGCTAATGACGCCGCCTTGACCTGGTTAATGATGTCGCCTTAACATGGCTAATGATGCCACCTTGACATGGCTAATGACGCCACCTTGACTTGGCTAATGGTGCCGCCTTGACATGGCTAATGACGCCACCATGACATGGCTAATGACGCCGCCTTGACATGGCTAATGACGCCACCTTGACATGGCTAATGACGCCGCCTTGACATGGCTAATGATGCCACATTGACATGGCTAATGACGCCGCCTTTACTTAGGAAATGATGCCGTATTCACTTGGCTACAGATGCCACCCCAAACAATGGACACTGTCCAGTGACTGACAGGATAACTTGACCATCAACCTGGTGACTGTCATTCGGCTACAGCCAAAACTCCTTGCAGCATGGTAATGCATTGCTCCTTGATGAATCATACCAACGGCTTATTCACTTACCAACGGCAACGGCATTTATCTTATCATGTTATTTGTCACCGTCTAATCGTTTGGGTGTGAGTGAACAGTACATCGTTCCTGTTATACCCATGTCTTTGTACGTTGACATACTGCTAGTGCAGATAGGTTTCACTGATCTTGTCACGATAGCACGTGCACTACTCAGAAATTGTTTTGGTAATGTTTCGGCGATTAATTGTCAACCACTATTCGGCGTTAGGTCTCAAAGTGTCCAACTTTTAGTTTGGTAACGTTACGTTTGTTTTTGTCAGTTTAAATCAAAAGTTATCCTATTCATGTCCACCATGCACAATCTTAATTAGTACTTGAAAAAATCATCAAGCAATTGTGTGTACACACGTGTCAAGTTGACACATTTTCCGTCATTTTGCTTTTGCTACACATGGCGTACATTCATTGTGACAGCATTAGCGAGTGTCCACTTAAACCTCTATGTTCAGGTTGATGTTGCTGGAGGGGAGAATGAGAACGCTTTCAACAGTATTTTCTCCAGTGACAAAGAATGAGAACTGTGTGACAAAATGTGTTTGCGTATCTCATTCCTAAACTCATAATACATAATTTGATTTGTGTGGCCATTTTGTCAAATAATTCAAAATTCGGATAATTATTTTCAAATTGTTTCCGTATATAAGTTTTAGTTGCTTTGTTAAACTAATAATGAATGCAACACCTGTGGGTGACCGATACGTCGCCATTGACGCCTTTGACGCTGTGCGTCCCTCAGGGTCGTGTCTGTGTTCGAATTCATGATCCGCAAATATTATCCTTAGTTGCTACATTATTGTACATGAGGTAAACATTATACACTTTCATCAGCTGTCATCCCACATTATTCGAATGCGCCGAAACCCAATTTTGTGACACTGTTATTTGTGTCTATTTAGAAGCCTTGATTTCCGTCACAGAACAGAAACATCTTCCGATCAGTGAAGATGCTTCAGATACCTAGTCCGATTACACTCGAAGACCTGGGGACCTTAATCCTTGGCAACTCCCATCTCCGCCACATGTCGTGTCGACCACACCCTACTGTGGTGTTACACAGGTTAAATCTACCCTGACGACTATCTGTTTATTTCAGTATCGAAAAACAGTAAATCATCCTACGATATTAAAGCTGAAAAAGAACAACAGTGTTTTCCTTCACGACCTTGTTCTGGTGTTCAGAGGTCATGTGTAATTCAGTGGCAAACATCTGCGGCCCAAGTCACTTTCCTCATAACGTCGGCTGACATGCGATGGTATATTCGAAGAACTGTTTTAGGATCGTCAGATCATCTCACTCATTCGCTCTATGTTTTCAGAGAGGTTGACAGGAAAACTGCTGTATCTCTCGGCATCATGGGAAACATTCTCTGTGGCATCCTTGTCGATCATCGTGTGGACATCGTTGGTCACGTCAGAACATTCGTCAAATGTTGTCCTGGCTTTCATATTACACAGGTGTCTATCTGCTTTTATCTATTATCTGATGAATGTTTGGTATTTAACGATGAACTTAGCAATAGTCCAGCTGTATGATGGTGGCATGCAGATATTTGACCAAATCAAAACAGTGACTGATACTGTGAAAACGTCCCCCGCCGTCAATCAGCAATCAGTCATGTCACAAAGCATGACAATCCGAACCCTGAATATCTCAGTCAAAGCTTTAATCGTGGCGACATCCGCAATCCCGTCTCACGTTGTGAGGCTTCACATTTGCTTCAGAAGTTTACTGTTGCATTGTTGATACTTCCTGTAGAATCACGGAAATTTCGTGCATAGCTACCCATTTTGAAAATACATATTGACCACTTATCAGCCTTGTGGGATTGAGTACGTGTATGACGGACGTTTCAGCTTAACCATAACAGTAATGTGCTTAATCAACAGATCCATATTTCTCCCTTATGAATACTTTAATTGGGTCTTAAATCAAATTATCAGGTTTAAACAAACGTGGAATAAATACGGCTTAATGGATTTCACATGCTCACTTTTGTGTTCATCGTACACAGACAATTCGTGGCTGATCATATGCCTCTTGTCTTTCCCCTCTTTTGGATTTGTTTGTTTGTTTGTCTGGTTTAATGCAACACGCAGCAATAGTCAAGTTATATAAAGGAAGTCTAAACCAGACAGTCCAGTGTCATGTGCAACGATCCAAGCAGCCAGGGAAAGCAAGCTGACAAACACCGAGCCTAACCACCAGATCCTGTAAGTGACAGTCGCCTCCTACGACAACCATAGTTTGCTGGGAACATACTCTTTCCCGAAAGCACCACGGGGGCTGAAGTTGGACTTTTCATGTGACAGATATATAATTATGAAAATAAGGCTTTGACGTTATCATTTACTGTCAAATGTTCATGAGGTAGTTAATGTTGCAAGATGATGTGCGGTTGCTGTATGACTTCTGTCGTCGCTGTGGTCTGATGGAGGATAATGCCAGCAACTACGCTAATCTGTGACATGGTACAGCTTCTGTATACAGTTGGTAGTAATCATTTAAAAACCCTTTACAGGTGTTGTTTTCAAATGATTCCGAGAGGTTAATTATTGCTTGCTGTTACTGTCTTTATTTCTGTACACATGTGTGTTTAATTTTTTTTCAGATTTTGTATATATCTTATTTGTGCTATTTTCCCATTATGTATTTTGTAATGGGGATTGTGACATATTCAGTTTTGATTTTTTTTTTCAAACTATTTCTCAACATCAGTGCCAAGCAGAGTTTGCGTGTAGGGTGAAGAGTTGGGTTCAAGAGGATAAACTGATTCCTTGGATATGTGACTCCAAAACAATAATGTCACAGAATTCATTAGATTTATTAGGATATATTGTTTGACTCAATATGTGGAGCAAATAGACGACATTTAAGAATACAGTTTGTCAAGTTATGCAAGAAGTGATGTGATTTTGAAGAACTTTATGATACACTTTGAATAACACGTATAATCCCTCAACGAATAGTGGCCAATACACTGTAAAGATTTATTTATAACACATAATCGATTACCTGACGGTAGGTATTGTGTGCCTTACAGATATAACGTTGTTCATGATAGTTTATCTACATGTTAATTTATTCATATTTCCACACAAGTGGGTTTGTATAAAGTTAGAAGGAAGTGTTCCGGGTATGTTTCATTTCCAACAATGAGTACATTACAACACCAACTTGATAAGCTACGTTTACACTCCCAGCCTCATGATTGAACTTGTGGTTTAGTTTGACCGTACACACGAACTTGCATTTACATCACATTTCATCGCCTGTACAAACGGAGCTGCATGCCTCTTTTTCTCGATTAGTTATACACGATTTCAAGAATTTGTTTTCAACGGAATTAATTGTGTATGTTGTAATACAGCCTACCTCGTTGTCTCGAACTACTGTGGACCAAAGAAATAGTTGCTTTTTGCTTGAAGGTTCGACACACCCTACTCGATCATATTACCGTCTTGACCTAGTCATCAGAAATCAATTGTATCACACCGTGCATGTTATGTAAATAACATACATGTTTATAGTCTATCACTTGATTATCAACTTCGAGGTCGACTTATCAGGGTAGGTTATAATATATTTTCACCTTTTGCGACTATTAACTGATTTCAAGACTAACGAGAATTAAACACATCAAGTTCGACGCAATAGCGGGTTAAAATAATAAGAAATATAGTAAGAGTTCGACACACCCAGAAATTCGACACATCCGAGTTAGAGACAACTTGGTTTGACTGCGTTTAATGTGCTTTTTGATATAAAGGCCTATTATTCATATGTACATACTGTGTCATGATGTATGTAAGCTGACAAGTCTACAGTAAATATACAACGTCCACCACAGAGAATAACCAGTGTCTATAAACCGCCGAAACAGATTCCGGTGGGTGCATAGGGGCAAAACAACATGGAAAAACATTCAAATGGATCAGTGATGCCAACGAGTTTTTTTCTCAAAAAGGATGAGCATACAGGTAGCATCCGCCACACACACAATATGGATCAACATAAATTTAGTGTTTGTTTGTTGCCTTGCGCCGCACAGCAGTACTCCTGAGATGCGACAGCAACCTGTAAAGAAACCAGACGACCAAAATCCAGTGACACAATTGCGTATTAACAGATTTAGTTGAGTCAATAGTTCAAATGGAACAGGTGATTCCTGGGGGAGACTCACATGTTGTAGCAGGAATATCCCGTTCAGTCTACAGTTATTGATCATATTGCCATATTTCAGCTTCGTAAATGTCCATAAACCCTGCACAAATTGTGTCAGAAATATTTACAACAACATTGTTTATGATGTGTTTTGACAGTCGGTCAATTTCAAATCAATACTTGAATATTGTTTTCCACACTAGCAGCACCATTCAAGGTATTTCAAGACGGCCTGAAACGAACGATTTGGGACACACAAAGCAGCGGCTGACATGGTAAGCATCTATCTTCGACATCTATGATACACAATCTGGCAGGCAACACTTTGTAACTGCCGGATGTCCATTTATTGGCACTTACAAAAAGCACCAGGTTCCTTTAAGGTATTCTCCCTCACACAAAAAAATAGCGTTACAATACTCAGTCAGTTATCAGCGGTATTAGATGTGCATGGATGTTATACATGTATACGTAGTATTCATGCATACATAGATGTATATGTTCAATATGTACATCTCTATAGAATATGGTTTTCACTACTCAGATATAACTCGTAAACCCCGACATAATTGAAATTTCGACTGAATAATTTTGATTTAATATTGTTATACACTTGTTTCAAGTATATATATTTCAACTGATGGCCTTCCGCCCAACATGCAGTATTATAACTGTGCATAAGCACACAGTATCAATTTACAAAATAGCAAACAAATTTGGCAGATTTTGCTTGTTACGCAGGTTTTCTTCTTCTTTTAACAAACAGTGTAAAAGAAACATGCACACTTTGTATCCTTGGCATGCGAGGCTGATACATTATCCGGCCTTCTTACGCAGAAGTAGACACCATGAAGCATTTATCCTGGTTGAGTAAGGTATATGTTGCCTGTATTCCTACCGATGAGTTACCTGTCTTTTAATGCATTGCAGTGCATGGTTATTTTTACCCGGTGGACACACGCGTATATAAAGATAACAACTGTTTACCTTGCAACGATACTTGTGTCGTCACAAATGGCATGTTAAGGGTCATTAGATAGGTTTAATGTCATAGTAAAAGAAAGTTGTCATGCAGTCCGACATCAACGACAGTCCCATTTGTGCAATGAATGATTTCAAACACATATCGATAGAAACATAATCTCGTTCTCCTTCCTGGTCTGTGCAGCAGTGTGCCACAATGGCGGTGTTCGACAGTGCTGTGGTTTTCATTGCCAGTCTGAGCCTTGTTACAGGTAAGCATTTTTTTTGTACAGGACAATCAGCACCAGCAACTTCAGTATCATTGATCTATTGGTATTTCTGAAATGTATCAGGACACGTTAAAACAAGTGTTCTGACAGGAAACGAGTCGTGTTTGTATCCACTCGTAGCTAGTGGGGCACTCGTAGCGTCTCACCACCCGACATTACTTCCTGTTGAACCTACTCCCTAGTCTTGTTACTGTGTGGATGTCAGCCATGATAGAATAATAACAGTGCAGACATATGACACATAACACATTTACAATGTCACTTCACAGACTAGGTCATAGAAGTTTAGTTTTCTATATGTCCCCATAGCATTGTGGTAATATAACTTTTCACAAACTCACTCATGGGTAGACTAATCGGGTGTGGTTCAGTAAATATTTTCATCAGCTGGAAAAAACCCTGGTTTTCCAACGTTTCTTTATTTAAGTGAATGTGGCATAATGGCAATGAATTACATTCAAGTAACATGACGTCGTTATATTGATATATACTGCATTTGAGAAGCGTGTTTGAAAGTTTGAGTTATTTAAATTATTTGTAAACAGTTATATTTATATATAAGAAGATTTGATTTAATGCTTCGTCACCATTAGTATGAGAGAGAGAGATTCTTTATTTCCTCCAGGAGTTAATCCGAAGATTATACATAATTAATCAACCGTATTCACACAAACTCATATTACCTGTACATATATACAATACAAGACAGTAGCACCAGTGGTATGCCATTCACACAGTACAAAAGGTTAGATCAGATAATCAAGGTAAGGCTTTAGTGTAAGTACATAAGCAGAAAATATCAGTATAACAGATGCCCATGTAACTATATCAATGCATTGTGAGAAGTGAGTATCAGCACCAAAGAAAAATAACAACATATCTTCTTCATCTTGTAATTCCAACTGGACATAGGTTTCAACATCAAGCAGATCAATAAAAGTTGAAAACAGTTCATTTCTTTCCTGCAGAAGAGCTTCACAGTGCATGCTTGTTACACAATAAACAGTCCCTGGAAGTTTTGTTTCGTGATGAAACTCTTACACAAAATTTTAAACTTGACCTCTGATCTGGGTACAGATATGCTAGTTGCCATAATATATGGCGAGTAAGCTTTGTGTGTATAAGCATGAGGCGTTAAAGACCTGTATTGACAGAAACTTGTCTGCGCCTCATATTTTCTTCATATTCATGAATGGTTTTTTAACCAGTTGCTTCCTGTGTCTCTTTGTAGGAAATACACCACAGCTAACATATGTACAAAGGTTGTTTCGTAGGTTATACTTGTTAAGAACTGATAATAAATCTCCACATACAGATTTAGGATTAGTTGGATTTACAATGTATGCACAAAAAAGATGTTTAACAAAATTGTTACAGGTTAAGTTACATGTGCGGCCAAGCAGCTGAAGTTTACACTTATCGATATAGCCGATCATTGTCCAAAGCCCAAGATAAGCAATAGTGGATTCTGATGGAGATCTTTTATCAAGTCCTTGTACATTTTGCGCGACTTCGATTCATCGGGGACACTTCTGTCTGCGTATCAATGAAAATAAAATATTCAAAAGCCTACAATAGTCGTAACTATATTTATAAGCACCACATGTAACACTGCATCAAAACCCAACGCATAGTAGCATTGGCTTGTGTCTGTTTATTCTGTACCGTGTGTTCACGGTCAAGCTGGGTTATACAATTTCTGACGGCTTTTGTGTATAATGTGAACACTCACATTATCGATAGAACGTTATATCTGTATACACGAATTCTGTCGGAAGCTACTTCACATTGCATTATCATTTCTCAAGCAATTGTATCACGTATTTTAATATTACCCGACCATACTCAAGAGGGAGGTCGCTACAACATTCATGAGGGTTGAGTCGCTTGAGTGGTCCGGGCAGATGAATACTGAACTGTACGTCAGTGAATTCCTTACACAGAGTAATGCTCTTTCTTGTGTGGGGTATCAGGGCAGAGAGTTGTCATGGTTCAGTAGAGACGTGCCCTATTACAAGAGACTTGTGCTAGGCTCTACGGGGAGTGGTTCATAAATTGTTAACGGTGTATATTTCATCATTGCAAAGACAATTAACAGAACTTTTTCATGATTTATAGATTCAACATGACCGTATGCTACATTTGAGAACGAGGCTTTATACGACTGATGTGGTGGTAGAAATGCATATTAGTGATTAGAATAGTACGACATTGCATATCTGTCCTTCAACGTGCGTTTACCTGATGACTTTTATCATAAGGGATTAAAGCATAAACTCTACATGAAAAACGTTAAGGGGAGAGGCTCAAACTATACAATACCCGTTCAAGTTAAGTAAACGATTTTACTTTACCTTCGTTTTTCATATCGTATTCCACCAGTCAAAAAGTCAAGCGTTATTACAGTTCCAGTAAATATTAATCACTGTGTGTAGCTTTTTTACCATACTCAACAACAAAAGAGGAGAAAATGAGTGAAATCATTGATATATGTCAAAATTGTTGCCATAGCGATACCTGAATCATGAATATAATATCATTTGGTTGTCCAAACATGTTGCTATTGTTACAGTCGCACAAAATTAAAGTGCAAATTCGACAAAACGCATCCAAGTTAACCACAGTAAACATTAATACAAAGCCTATAAAAGTACAGGGTTTCGTTTATAACTATTTGTTCATTTTGTCCGGGATATTTCACAATAGCCAACACAAGGCGCAACAACGTAAAGCAGAGAGAAAAGGCGCCATGGGTTGTTTGGAACGGTTGATTCTAGTTCGTTCTTAGCCAGGGTATTTCATATATCTCAAAGAATCATCCATCAGCACTATAGTCTTGACCACTACATCCAGGCTCGTCACCTACTACAAAGGCCCACCACTTCTACAACATCCAACATACCAGGTTTGCATAGGATATCGGCCCAGATGGCGAGGAAACGCCGACGTGAGGTACATGTAGCTCATCGAGCCAGACAGCCTTTCCGAGACATCATTAAAAATTAGTCGGTGCAAATCGTCAGCTACAACGCCAGTGGTGTCATGTCCGCACAGTATGGCCTCACCTGCGATGGTTTCACGTATTTTTGTTTCTACGTGCAGATGTAAGATGTTGGGTGTATTGACTTGGACATGGATGCTTTATACCAAACTGCAGCTGCATACAAAAAGTCGGCAGATTTAGCCGGTAGTGCGATGGCGTTGAAAGATTAATATCTCTCCAGGGGTCAGTTAGATTAAATTCCTCTATATGATCCAGAAGCTTCTCTCTTACTTTCAGGTTATTAGCGTATTTGTAATTGTACATGTCTAATCTTCTATTTTGAACAATATTTCAATCTCCACAAATAGTATTGTAATCCGGATCAAGTCCATTTATAATCTTGATACACGCTTATACATTTCTAGGGAGTCATTGTTTGGAACATATAAAGAGATATGCATGACAGTCTTTTCCTCGATGTATAGTTGAAACGCCAAACAGTTCCCTGCTTCTTGGTTATGTATTTCATCAACCATCTTGAACTCAAATCGGTTTTCGAAAAGTATGCAAACCCCTCTGGCATTGCTCTTGTGAGTGCTAAGTATATAATGTTGATATCCCCAATCTTTTCTAAATTCATTTTCCAATTCTGGATTGAAAGGAGTATCATGTGGGCAATGTATGTTGTTGTTTTTTTACTTTTCAAATATTGAAAGACATTTCGTAGACTATGCACGTTGTGTAATCCTTGACAGTTCGTTCAAAGTATCTTAATTTCACCTGCCATTGTTATATGGTAATGGTTATATGATGTAGATATAACTTCAATGATCTTGAAAAGTAATGTGATGATGGGTACCTTTTTTTAAGAATAAACAAGAACTTTTAAAGAAAACTAAAAGTAAGGCGACTCCTGTCACATATATCACAAACATAATTTGGCATGTGAAGCAATGGTTTTCTAACCACCTTGTGTATCACTACATGTTAAATTACTGTTATCTCAATACAGGATTGGAGCATAACAGATATTCCTAAATATGTACACCTATAAGATCCAATAATCTAGCTAAAGCTTTCTAACATTATTATCCGTCGACAGTTTTCAATTCCGAGAAAAACAACAACATCGACAACATTTGAAACACTGTTTTGCACATACAATATTTCAAAGCCATGCTCACTAATAAGAAGTAGAATCCTGTTCCCTCTCTCTCAAGTAATCCCTCAGTACGTTAGCGGCCCGCTGTTTTACCCGTTGCGTGTACATTTTGCCTTTTCTCAGAGATTTCCTCATCTCTGCTACTAGCAAAGCGGCTGCCAGCCAATTGTGTGTTGCTGTGGTAAGCCTGATGCTGCAGTGTAATGGCTTAGAATGCTGACGTTAGGATCAAAGGGAGACTACTCTTCACACCTAAGAAGCCAAACCGTGTTGACATTTTATGCAATAATCTTCATCGATAAAGTCATGAACGTGGTTTTTGTTAAATAAATATCTTTCCACATGATAATTAATTGTGTCGAATAACGAATTTGCGTACTAGAATTTTCATGTAAAATACTTGAGGTGGGTTTTGGAAAATCCGAGATGCTGTATTGGTTATCAATGTAAACACAGTGCCCTTGAAGTAGTAATGTGATGATAACATTTAAAGCAAACCATATATGCACTTGTAATATCCAGTAATCTAGCAAATACGCTTACTCACGTTACTGTTCGTAGGTACTTCCCAATTAGTGCGCATCGCATGAAAACACTGTTTTGAACATTTTCCAACCATGTGTGAAGCCACTAATAGGAAGCACTTTACTGTTTAAACAAAGAAACATACCGCACAGTAATATCCTAGACCCATTGAATATATGTTGATACACATAAATACAGTAAACTACGTTTATAACGAACTGACACATATAACGAACTGTTCAGATGGCCCCGGCCATCTCCTGTGCTTATAACGATCTACGATTATAACGAACTAATATTAGTGGTACCTTT